CATTTTATTAAGAACTTGGAGGAAAAAAAGAATTCCAGTATTCTGATCATAAGAACTAAGCTTTCCTTTTATCTTCTTGGCTGCCAAGAAGCTCAGAAAAGTATCTGAATCTTAATTACTGCAATTCTGTCTTCCATTTTATGAGTTGGAGAGAATGCTTAAGAAGTGTAAAAGTGCCCACTTAAAATAACACATACATAGGCTCTAAACCCCATTTCCTGCTACAAGATGTATAGCCCTGGGAATTTTTATTAACCATTCCCATTAACCTGGGAATAGTGATACTTGATAGCATTTTAGTGAGGTAATGCACAAAGTCCCCAGCATAGAGTGAATTCTCGTAATCATTATTATACTCTTTCTTATTGCTACTTCGATTTCTGTCTGTTTTATATTTCCTTACTTCATCATACATCTCTTTAGTTGTGCATTTTCTCAAATCCTTTGCAGAAAAAAAACAAGTGTTGGTTTTTTGGGGGTTTTTTTAAGTTCCATTACCCCACTGGTGTCATGACCAGAGCTGGGTGCAGATAAAAAGCTTCAGGCATCTACTTGATCAAAACAAAATCTGCTCATGGACTCAAAAACTATTATGCTCTTTCTTCCAACTAAATAATGCCAGTTTCTATAACCTCATCTTGTATACTTTAATGAAGTTTTCCTCGGGGCTTGTGTTTTTCACTTACAATTTCTGATTTCTTAGTGTAGAAGCAACTTTTAAGAATCATTTTCTCTATTATAGATACGACTTTGTCTGCTTTCTTTTTATTTCTGAGACAGCACTCACTCACGGCTTTATATTCCAAGACAGAAAAGCTATTAATGACTTTGTCAGATAGAAAGTGACAGAGCAGAATTTGTCTCTGAATTCTTAAAAAAAAAAAATCCATGCATAATAACATGTTCCCTCCATAGAAGTGACAGTTTTCTGCTTTTAAGTTTCTATCATTTTTACAGAAGGTTTTATCTTGTTAATGTAGTACACTATGTATGAGTATTTTAAAACATATTAACACACAAGACCTGTTCCAATATTTTAAAAAGCAATGAAGAACATATCACCCAATTCAAAACATCTTAATAATTATCATGTTATTTAAGTTGGAAAGCAAAGCAAAGAAACAAAATATTGTTGATACAAATAGAAAAAAAAACAGCAGATGGCATTTCACTCCTTATAAAGTGGGGCACTTTGCACAATGTATTGAGATTGTTTTCAGGGTCTCACTCGTCAGACCCACTTTTATAAAGGGTCAATTAAAATCTATGCTTGACATAACCAGGGACACCATTGCAACCATAATTGGAAAATTACAGTGTTATTGAAACTATTGCTGATATTCTTGTGGTCTTCTTATCAGTTCATATTGCCTATTACCAAAGATAAGAGAAGGTAAAACACACTTGAGTTATTTGGTGGGAAGCAGAAAAGACCGGGAGCAATTTAGTGATACTCTCCATACAGAGATCCGGGAGGACCACTCCTTTCCTTTGCTGAGAGGAAAGAGAAGGGACGTCTTCTATCTGAGGAGATTTGCCTTAGAGATTAAAAAGAATGGCATGGTTGTAAAACATTGGAATCACTGTCACGGAAGAGAGTGGTCTTTTATCCATAGTATTTAAAAACAGAACAGAGCTCATCTATCTCCCACGGTTCAGATGTGAAGAGAGAATGATTAAATTGCTTCTTCCAGTTCTATGAGTCTATAGTATATGCTAGAAACACCTGTGAATGCCAGGGAAAAAAATATGATCACAAAGGAATTATGTGTTGGGCAATCAAATCCATCTGCTGCATTCAAGAAGCAACTGTTGAAATTTACTTAAATGTCTCACCACAAAACAAAACACAACACAAAAAAACAAATTTTTTTAAAAGAGTAAGTAGATGAAGTAACAGATGTGTTAACTAGCTTGATTGTGCTGATAATTTCACTATATAAATATCAAGTGTTCACTTTATACACCTTAAAATCAATCATTTTATTTGTCAATTATACCTCAGTAAGACTGGGAAATTAAAAATAAAAAGCAACTGTTGTTAGTCTTTAATAAAAACACTGGTTTACAACATGATGGAATATAATTTTATGTTCACCTCCTTTCTACTTAACTTTTTGTTCCTATCTTTATTTTCTTCTCTGTACTGTCTGCTGCTAAATTATCATATCTTTCTGTATTTTATCTATTTTTTTATGAGTCACGTTAAATCTCTTCTGGAACAAGAAGGGATGTAATTGAATAAAATAAACTCTATTAATTAAAGTCTGGAGAGTGTGTGTGTGTGTGTGTGTGTGTGTGTGTGTGTGTGTGTGTGTACGCGCGCACCAGGTACAGGGATATAGACAAGAGAAAATGTCACAGTGTGGGAATGAACATGGACAGGTTGACTAGCAAGAATACCGTAAGAATCCTTGCAGGGGAATGAGATTCCTGTGGACCATGGAGCTGAAAGCCTCGGTCTTGGGAACAGGGAGGCAAGGAAAGCTTATAGCAGAGCTCTTGCTGGAGCATCACCCTGATGCAGAAGTGTGTGGAGACTCGGTGGGTGGGAAAGTGCAGTCTTCAAGAGACAGCTTTCAGGCTGCCTTGCTGATCCCAGGCGAATGTCATTATTCTAATCTAGGAATTTCCGACAAACATCATCTTTGATGAATGCTTTCTTCTACAATTTTGTTCTCACCATTGGACAGTGATCTCTGGTGCAATTTGACAGTTTCAAAAGACTTGTCTGATTTTCAGGGCATTTTGGTAAAAATGCAATAGCAGAATTGTGGTCTCAACAAAAGGGCAACACTCTATAATCTTTTGGGGGCCCTGATTGAAACCACATGGATACAAATCTTTCTCTCGGGCTCCTTAACATTAATTGCAAACATATCCTACTCAGTCATAAACCTTACAAACAAAGGGAGCCCCTCCCATGAAAGTTGCTATATAGAGCAACTTTACAAATACACTAGACTTTTTAAACACTTGCCATTTTGATTTTGCAACCTGGAGAGTTTTGAAAACCTGGAGGATTTCTTAATTTAACAAATACATTTGAATGTGAGGACTCTGAGTTTGGCTTACTTCCCAGGCCCTATGTTTCAGTGAATTTTCCTTCCTGAAGCAATACCAGCAGTATTTCACTTAGTAGGTTTTAATTTATTGAGCACTTACTATACTAAGAACTTGATTCATGCTGCCTCATTAAATTCTGACCACAGACAACTGAAGTCCAAAAAGATAAGGTTGTCCCGGACTAGACACACATCTAGGAAGCTGGGACGTGCTACTCTGGCTTTGATCAGTTTGGTCTAACTCATCATTATATACTGACTCATTTAATTTCAAGTGTTTTTTAATCTTCATAACACTATAAGATGCTATTAGTCCATTTAAAGTATGTATGCAATGGAAGGAATTTTGTGTTCTGGCAGCAACCTTTCTGTTTGGGAGAGTTTGCAAAGGTCTCTGTAGAGCCTCCCGGAGGAGTGTCAGTTTACTGAGATCCTCCCTGAACTACCCAGAATAGCTGCAGTGCCTCGAGATGGGTGGGTGGTTTATGCTTCCCTGGACTCCAGCGCTTTGCCTATCTTCCTGAGAAGGGCTGGTTTCCAGGCAACATCATGGTCCATCTATTTTCATACTCTGTAGTGACAAGCATTTTTGAAAAAAAAAAGGAAATATGGCCCCAGTAGTGTGATGAGATGTTTTTTTGGAGTCTGGCTTTTCTGCCTTCATAATTCTACAGTGACTATCAGTAGGGCAGGAGGAATCCCAACAAGAGACACAGCTAGTGAGTGAAAAGGCCTGCCCCATGGCCACAAAAGACCAAGACTCAGAATGCCAACACTGTGCTTTATCAGGTTAACAGGCTTTTTACAATGCCCTGCTCTTGGAAGATGGAAAAAGTGCAGGCCTAAATGACTACTAAATAGATTTATATCATTTAAAGAGTAGCCTGGTCATCATGACTGGTAAACAAAAAGTCAAAAATTTGCATTTGATTGATGTGTAAGATTTACAGTCCCTGGGACATAAACTGCATGATTCAGTGTGGTTTTTTTAGTCTTAATTTTCTCTTTTTGAAAACTAGTTGTAGAACAGCATGTACTTTTACAACCAGGAACCCAAAAAATGTACATTTAAATCCCAATTTTAGTATACTTTGATGAAGTCAGAATCACCCTTGCTTATTTCAAAAATGAGTTCTACATGATGCCTTTCCTTCTATGTTTCCAAAATTATGTGTACCTAAAGCAAGTTATTGTTCTGGGTCAGCTCAGCTCATTTTAAGGGCTTGAGGTTGTAAACAAACAAAAAGAATGCATTTTTTTCCTCATCAGATATCATATTTTCTACAATAACATGGGCTCCAAGGAGTCTTCTGAGATTGGATTTTATTGAAAATTGTGGTGTTTAAAGAATACAAGAAAGTCTGAAATTCTCAACAGAAATTTCAGACAGCTCGGAGACAATCTGTAGAGTAAAAGAGTTTTAAGTGGAGAAGTGTCCCCTAACCCAAAAGGGACCACCTCTAATTCTAGACTGTGTGTAGGTACCTGAGTACTGCACAGATCACAAAAACATTAATGATAATCATCATCATTCGCCTTAAAGAAGGACACAATCTGATCCAATTGAATTGATGCTGGAGAACCCAAGGGATGCCACTCTGTTTGGGGGCAGTGATGTCTTCAGAGCCATGTGTACGTGTCAGTCCTTCTGGTATCAAGTGGGCTAAAGGGACCTGGGAGAGGCAGGGACTCCAGCAAAGCATGGAAATGCAGGATGCCTTTGTGAGCTCATATTTTTGTTCTTGCTGTCCCCGAGTGAACCCAGAGCTGTGGCCCTTGTCATGAGGAGGATGCTCTATGTCATGTTTCAAATCAGCCCAGCAGGGCAGCTCACTCACAGCCCGTTTCTCCTAGCACATCTTTTGTTTCATGTGAAGACAGTGGCCAAGTTGCCTGCATGTCCTAACTCTCCTCACTATCTCTTTGCTCCCACAGAATCTGTACCAGAACAGGTTTTTAGGCCTGGCCGCCATGGCATCTCCTTCGAGAAACTCTCAGAGCCGACGCCGGTGCAAGGAGCCACTGCGCTACAGCTACAACCCTGACCAGTTCCACAACATGGACATCAGGGGAGGCCCCCACGATGGCGTCACCATCCCTCGTTCCACCAGCGACACCGACCTGGTCACCTCTGACAGCCGCTCTACACTCATGGTCAGCAGTTCCTACTACTCCATAGGGCACTCGCAAGATCTGGTGATTCATTGGGACATAAAGGAGGAAGTGGACGCTGGAGACTGGATTGGCATGTACCTCATCGGTGAGTAGGACGTCCCCAGCATATTATTCATAATTCACTTTTCCATACGCTTTAACATTTTAATAAACTCTTTAATATAATTAAAATATACAGTCAACTGTGTTCTACACCAGATTCTTTTTCTTTTATTATTATAAAGATGTGGGGTACAATTCAGGGTTAGGTATACAAACATTGATCATGCAGGTATCCTTGTTGGTGAGGTATGCCCCTCCCTCCCCTAGCAGACAGTGTGGCGATTTCTGAAAGAACTAGAAATTGACCTTCCATATGACCCAGCAATTCCCCTAGTGGGAATATACCCGGAGGAACTCAAATTATTCTACAAAAAAGATGCCTGCACATGTATGTTTGTTGCAGCTCTATTCACAATAGCAAAAACATGGAACCAACCGTGTTGCCCGTCGAAGCTGGACTGGATAAAAAAAATGTGGTACACATACATGATGGAATATTATGCAGCCATAAAGAAGGACAAATATATGAACTTTGCAACAACTTGGATGGATTTGGAGTCGACCATACTCAGTGATTTATCACAGAAACAAAGAACAGAGTTTCATATGTTCTCACTCATAAGCGAACCTTGACCAATCATAATGTTACACCAGATTCGAACACACTGAAGACCATCGTGTGTGACTTTGTTCTTCTGCATACCAGACAATAAGGTCTCTGTTGCCCTCTCTGTTCAGTGGAAGAAAATCATAACATACGGCAGGGTGAGGTATAGTTAAATATCATTACCATTTGCCACTTATGAATTAGTTAATATCAAAAGCCTGTTTTTAAATCCATGTGTGCAGAGGCCAGAGTGACACCATATAACCAATCAATGTATGCACATCTATGTAGAGGGAATTTCACTCGTTTCAAACAAACTTCATCGTCACCAGCTCTTTCAAGATTCTTGCTGCTCTGTGTTTTAAATGGGATTATACATATAGTCATGGTGCTGGAGAAAACTGACTTGCTTTATTTTAGGTAAAGCATTATTCTAAATTTCAAAAGTTCCACAGTTGAAAGTTCATTGGAAATTTTCTTATGTGAATTTTCGCAAGTCTAGGCAAACCAACCAAATTATGCAAATAAATTGGATACCAAGGCAGACTAATTTTATGAAATAGAAAACTTTTATGAAAGCTTCACCATTCTCATTGATTGATTTTGAAAATAAATACTACAAATTTGAAATTCAGAAAATCAATTTACGTGAAAAATGTATTCCATCTATTTTACATGACAGAACCAGATGTAGTGGAAATTGGTGCATTTACCTGATAACCATGGTGTAATTGCTAGGATGCCATAGATTCAACACCAGGCCCAACCCAGACCCAGTCTTCTGCTTTCGGTCTGTGTGTGCACACATTCAGACACCCAACACCAGATTTAACCTCACCGAATACCACAGGAAATAATGAATGGTCATGAGCAGTTTACAACCTGGACCATTTTTCTGACAAAATAAAAGATATCTTATCTTTAACTGGCACTCAGGGAAACATTCTTGGGTCTTTTAAAGGTTTTATCATCAGCCTGGTTAGTCGGTTTACAGTACACACATTATTGTAAAGATGGAGAAACATCATATTTTAATTTTTTACACAGTTGTGACTAGCTACATTGGATTTCCAAAAAGTTAAAATTTAATTTTCTTTAAAAATAGTTCTTGAATAAAAGTAGACACCATCGATCTAGATCCAAGGGATACCATCTACGCTAGAAAGCAGTTAGCATTGATCTAGAGATGGCAAAATTATAGCCCACCAAGCATACTTTGTTTAGTTCACATTATCTTGTCTTAAACTTGGTAAATTACCAACATTTTCAAATGTAGACATTTCAGTGGTGAAGCCCAACTTTCTTTTTTCACAATGCTGAAGCCCAACTTTCTTTTTCCTGTTTTTTTTTTTTGAGTTGGAGTCTCACTCTGTCGCCCAGACTGGAGCGCAGTGGCCTCTCCCGGCCACCGCGGCCTCGACCTGCTGGGCTCCGGCGATCCTTCCGCCTCAACCTTCAAGTAGCCAGAATTACAGGCATGCACTACCACACCCGGCTGATTTTTTGATTTATTGTAAAAATGAGGTCTCACTGCCCAGGCGGGTCTCGAACCCGCGGGCTCAGGCAATCCACTCACCTCAGCCTCCCAAAGGCATGGGATTACAGGCTGAGCCACCAAGCCCGGCTCCAACTTTCTTTTTTCACAGATTTGCAGTGCCGTCCAGATTTGCAGTGCCCCCAAGTTGGTAGCGTGAGCCTGTGATACCATGTGGCTCTAATCAGCTGGGGTTAAATATTTGCTGCTCCCATGAGACTGACCTGCAACCTTCTGTATTGCCACAGTCTCCCTCCCAAAAGCCACCCTCCCCTGTCCAACTTTCATTATCAATGTTTCTTGTTTAACACCAGAGGCAATCAGGTTTAGGGCTCCAATCTAGTTTTGAATCAACTCCCTATAGGGGCACCCTCCTGCAGCTGGTGAGTGTTGATGCCATTTCTCAAGTTAGGAACCACTGGAAGAGGAACGCATTTGGGAAGAAGATAATGGAGTTGAGGGTGGAACTCACAGAGCATGGGACACCTGAGAAACATTTGTCCACAGTAAACGAATGGATGGGTCTGAACTCAGCCAGAGATCTGGGCTAGGTTTGCAGATTTGGGATAACCGGCACTCTGGGGATGAATAAGGTCACTTGTGTGTTGTGCGTAGAAAGAGATCACTAGATAGTTACTGTCTGAGAGATGACAGAGGAAAGGCAGAGGAGGAATTCAAACAGAAGATGGAGGAGGTGGTGAAGAGGCAGGACAACCAGGGGACCAGAGAGGACAAAAGAAGAGGGTGGTACAAGCAGGAAGGGGCAGTCAGCTATATCAGGTATTACGAAATCCGTGAATGAATAAGATTTGGTGTTAACATGACATTTTGACTGAGACAAAAGTAACCACAGCTCATCATCTTAGGATCTTAATTTGACAGTTTGTTATTCACATTGTAGCTACACATATATAACTGTGAAGTTATTTAACGCAAAATGCCAACATTTGCAATAGCAGAATTTTCAAAATAATTCCCAAATCCAAAATTATCTGTGAATCTTAAAAGTTCATGGTTTTTAAATTCTTAGTAATTTATCTTCCAGATTTGCAGTGCCTTGCCAAAGATCAAATCAGAAATCTAGGCGTAGTAACATGGAGGTGGGAATTTCTTCTAATCTGTCATTTCACAAGTGAGGAGATACAGAATCAGTGGTTCCCACAGTCACACAGCTGCCTCCCCTAACCACAGGAACATCTCAGCGTTCTGATACAGTGTCAGGTATGGGCCATGCTATATCAGGGAGCCAACAAAATGTCCAGTGGAGGTCAGGTTTATGATGCTTTCAGTATTATAGGACCGGTATAATTTTCCAGGCAAACAAGTTTTCTTCTGCCATCAGAGGGCGAAGGTATCTGAATGTGAAGAGTGGCGTGTGACTGCAGATGTATGGACATCAACTTTCGAAGAATTGAAGTTTTTTTCTTTCCATCAGGCACCCTATTAGAATCTAGAAGAACTGAAGGTACATTTCTTAATTAAGACGCAAACAGAATACTCGCATCCAAAGAAACATAATAAAGGAAAAGCCACAGAAGAGGAGAAAGTGGCATTGACTTTTAGGAGCTCCTGTGCCACTTTACCCATGGAGTCCCTTCCTAGTATAAGAGAAGAGAGCTTCTACATCAGTGACGTAGTAGTATGGAAGGCAAGTCATTTCTCGTCACATCTCCTGTTCTACTATTTAGTAAAGCCATCGTCCAGTAGTAGTGGGAGCATCCTCAGAGATTTTCCAAGATTTGGTCATCGGAAAGCATGAGTTACTCTGAGAAATGGATTTTCTCTGATGGGCTTAGGAGATCTGAGTAGTGGATTGATTCTCCTTTTTAATCAATATTGGACTCACTTGCTCATTCTGCTCTTAACAGCAATGGTATTTTTATTGTTCACTCTTCTATTATAGATTATGTTGCAGAAAGCATAGCTACAGTTTTTATTTTCAGATGAAATTGGCTATGCTCAGAGTGGTATGGCTGTAGACGACAATTTTTATTTTTGAACAAGACGAACCAAGAGAAAATACATTCCTTGTTTCTTGAGTATGTTTGTTTCTGTAAGCTTCATTGAAACTTTCTGTTTAAAATTTTAATAATCTGCGAAGATCCTTTTCTCTATTATAAACTGTGGAGCAGGAGATAGGATTCTACACGCCAGAAGACATAAATATCATCCAGAAAATAGAATCTTTTCTGAGGAACTTAATGTATCTCTACATGTTCTGTACAAAATGTATAATGGCAAAACTTTAAATAGTACTGATGTAAGCTAGTGTTTCCAGTTGTTATTAACGGTCTTACACATTAAGTGCCATAGGGCTTTGTAATGGCGAGAGAGTGGGGGAGAAATTTCTAGTCCAGATTCTAAATAGAAGTAGCTGGTTATTAGATGTCTGACATTGTCTAAGAACACTCCCTATATTAGCTCATGATATCCTCACAATAAAATTTGGGGGTGGTTACTAATATCATCCCCGTTTTGTAGTGAAAGATTAAATAAACTGTCTAATATCACATAGTCATGGTAAACATAACCTTCCTGCTTAAAGAAACCTGTAAATATTGCTCCCACAAAGAGACTTAAGCATGACAAAGATGCAGAATAGACTCTCCCGGTAGAGCCCAGAGCAGCCATTCCTCGTGGAGGTGGAGAGCGTGGCCTGGCTCACGGCATCCATTTCAGCCCTCTTCTTTTCTGTGCTTGACTGTCCTCCTCTAGTGCAGAATCTGGTTCGCTAAAAAGTACATTTCTCAGATTCCTGGGCAACCACGTTCTGTATGCAAATTTGGTTCTTTCATTTAGCTGCCCTTGTGCAGGATTGGGAAGGCGGAAGGTAAATGTGGAGATCTCGCTGCTCCTGAGTCTGTGGTTGCTACAAGCATGGCCCTGAGAAATCGAGCTCTTCTCTAGCACTCAGCTAATGTCCACTCACTATCTTTAACAGGCAGTCAACAGGCCGTGGGATGGTAGAGGCAGTGACCCACTCCGCTTGCCATTGGCTGGTTATTGTCTTTGTGGGTGGAGAGGCAGCTGCTGCGGCCTGGACAAGCAGCCTTCTGCTCTCTGGTTGCAACTACTGTGTTGAGTTCTTGCACTCAGCAGGTCCCAGGGTGGCCTTTGTGAGAGAGGCAAAGGCAGCAGCCTTGTGAGGGAGTCAGTTAGGCAGTGACATCCTGGGGGGGCTGTTTCCAGAGGCCCAGTCTAGAGTCCATTTCTCCAGTACTGGATTTCCTGCATTAAATCTCTTTCCTCATAAAACATGTAGACTGATTCTGTTTTTCCACAGCTGACCTTGCCAACACATGTGAATTCCTAAACAAATACTGGTAACTTTTCTAACAATTAGTGATAAATGCCTTTGGAAAGGGGGTTGCTCTCTCAGCACAGATGGTCCAGGCAAGATTTTGGGCTATTAGATTTTCTTATTGTGTGGTATTTGTTATTAAGTGTTATTATTAGTGTGAAGGAAGAGGATACTTATCAGAACCAATTGACAATCTCTTGAAACGTATCACATTTGTGTGTACAGCAAAATATATCTTTTTCTCTTTAAAGCATGTGTGATTTTGCCATCCTCATCAGCCTCTTCTGATTCTTTCCATCCCCTAACTTCCTCCTCATCTCATTTTATTGATAGCATGCCCCTGTGCTTCCTTGATAATTAACCCATTCTTAAACTATCTATATTCTAATGACATTACCTGTTTTCTTGAATTAATCTCCAAATATAATTAGAAACTCCCTGAGAACATAGACCACATGTTGTTCACCAGTGTCTCCCCAGGGTTTAGCACAATGCCTAAAATGGAGCAAAACACTCAATACACATTATCTAATGAACAAATGAACATCTCCCTTCCAGGTATCATTGTATATGAAAACCTGCCCCCAACGATTAAAGAGGATATTCCAGTGATCAGAGTGGATAAATTCAGGCAAATATTGTCCCTTGGAGAATTACCATAATGAGGCAAATTTCTACCTGGGCGTGATACTCATTATATCTGTGCTGAAGACCCAGGGAGCTAGGAAAATATTATGCCTTTTTACAGAAATGAAGCAATTACTGTAAAAGATGTATTATGCAATCATCTTAGTAACCCAAACAGGAATATGAGCACACACTGTGAATAAAAAGACAGGCAAATTTTGCAAACAGGTGATTTTCCAAAGGATACAAACAGCTCTTATGCTAATGAGGCGGCCACAGTGTTGCATTGCCCAGTCTTCTTTCCCAAAGAAGGGCCAGCTGAAAATGTGCAGTTCCTCAAAGCAGGTTACAAGTACAGTTGCCAGTTATTTAACCTTCCCCTGTAAGGCTGAAGTTTTGACTACTCCCACTTTGCAGATGAACAACCTAAGGTCATAGAGGTGACACTATTGGCAAATGGCACAAAAGGCCTCAAGAGCTGGGTCTTTGGGCTTCAAGCTCAGCCCTTTCTGTACTGCATCACCACCTGTGTTCTCAGTTTAGCCAGATACAGGGTATGAACCACAGGGTATTGTAGGCACAAAAAGAACAACCATGACCCAGTTTCCTCTCTACAGAGCCAGGGCTCTGACCTGCCCTCAGGAACCCTAGAGGGTCAGGCTGTCCCTCTAGCCTTGCAGTAGATGTGGACTCTCAAAATGCAGGTTTCCCCAAAGCCTCAGGCCCACCTAGCTCAGATGATTACTTTCCAGCAAAGTGTAAATGACAAGGGCCCCATAGACGATCAAGGTTAAAATCAATACCCCTGTCTTAGTCTGTATTGAAAGTATGGGATCTGGAATCAAGGAGATGACAGTAAGTTTGGTCTTCTTGGATCTGTCCTCCCCAAGGATGCTTCATTCCTCTCCAGCACTGGCTTTAAAGAAGACATCAATGGGTTGTAAAGTGACTAGCAGAGAGGCAGCATACTATCACCCACTAGCTCTTCCCAGCGCCCCCTTGCAGCTACCTGGACCCCGAGCCCCACATAGGTGGGGCACTCACCATCCCTCCACACACACACACACACACACACACACACACATTTGTTCTCTACCACATGACTCTTCCTGTCCCTCAGCTCTCCTCTGACCACACTACTGGCCTCTTTCCTCGTCACTCTGTCACAGAACCTTGTTCTTTTCCTTCCTATCCCTTCTCACAAGTTGCAAGAATGCATTTACTTCTTTGCTTAGTGTTTAAAGTCTGTCTTAGTTGTCTGTAAGCTTTAGTTCAAAAGGAATCATATTGGTCTTGCTAAGCACCATGGCTCCTGCGCCTTCCCCAGTATCTGACAGATGGTTGAATTTCAGCTGCTAAATGAACAAATAATGCATGAGTGCATGAAGGGATGGGTAGATAAGCTCATGGGATGAGTCCCATGAGTAAGATGATTGTGATGCCCAGGTGGGAGGAGAAAACACCATGAGAACTGGACATCTAATGACTGGAAATTTTCTTAACGTGTGTTCCTCACACTCAAATAGGGATAAGCTTTGGGAGAGGTTTTCACACGGAAATTTCACACACGTAAGAGCTATTCAGAAGTAAAATGAATTGCCATAGCAGTAATTGTTTCTCAGTTTCTGGAGGTGTTCAAGAACCAGCTAGACGGTCTCTTGTCAGAAGTGTTGTGGGGTAGAAAAGAGATTCCTGCATTTAAAAGGGCTTTGTACTGATGGTGACTTAGGATACTTCCTGCTCTCTGATTCTGATTCCAGGTGCCCTTTCTTCTGTTGAGATGGAAGCGGCATTCATAACCTTTCCTCTTTTTTCCCCCCCTAAATATGCCATTGACTGATATATTTCTCTACTCTGCTTTCTTCTTCTGGGGATATAGATGAGGTCTTGTCTGAAAACTTTCTGGACTATAAGAACCGTGGAGTCAATGGTTCTCATCGGGGCCAGATCATTTGGAAGATTGATGCCAGCTCTTACTTTGTGGAACGTGAGTACTTTTCTCCATTCTTGTTGCTTGGCGGACATGGATGAAACAAAATTCAACTCCTTTGTTCTTTGCTCTGTTGTGCCACCTCCAATAGGAAATGGCCATATAAAAGAGAGATACAGATTTAATGAGATCCTTAAAAATATTTTCAGTAGTGAGTTGTGAAGTTGACAGTAGTTGAATAACAGCCATCCAACCAGCCCAGAGGGCTACGCTACCCCTGTAATACCAAGGTAAAAAAAAAAAAAATTGGCTTATATTCAAAAGACTCTGGCTCATGTCCCTAACTTTCACTCCATGGTCCCTCCAGGTATTTCCAACTTTGTCATAGTTAGACCATGTCCTCTCAATATGCATCCCATCTTCCTTGCCTTGCCTTTGTTTGACCCAGTCCTTCAAGACTTCTTGCCCGTGTCCCCAGCATGTTGGCAATATTCCACATGTTGCCTTGACTTTTGGCTCAGGCCACAACTCCTTAGGCTGGAGATGATACATTAGTACTGCTAGCCTGCTTCTTTGATTTTTGACCTACTGATGTTTCTGGATATATAAACTTGTTATCATGTATCTTATTTAGATGTTTTCTAATATTTCTTTTGTCTTTGAAAATAAATCATGAACAACCCCTTTGAGTCCCCTTCCACTGTGGGAGCTTTTCTGTCCTCTCGATAAATCCTGCTTTCTTTCTTTTCTTTTCTTTTTTTTTTTGAGTTGGAGTCTCACTCTGTCGCCCAGACTGGAGTGCAGTGGCTACTCCCGGCCACTGCAGTCTCGACCTGCCAGGCTCCTGCGATCCTTCCGCCTCAGCCTTCCAAGTAGCTGGAACTACAGGTGCGCGCTACCACGCCTGGCTAATTTTTTGATTTATTGTAGAGATGAGGTCTCGCCAAGTTGCCCAGGCGGGTCTTGAACCCGCGGGCTCAGGCAATTGACTCATCTCGGCCTCCCAAAGTGGGGGATCACAGGCTGAGCCACCGAGCCTGGCCTAAATCCTGCTTTCTAAAACAGAAAGAGAAAATAAATCATTTTCAGACTTATGGCAAGGATTTTTCATGGGTCCCCATGCTGATGAGGAAATGCCTACATGGGCTTCATGTTTGTTCACTGAAAGAATGCACAGATTACCTTGAGTCCACAACTCCTTCTCTTTCACTTGAGGATGAAATGATTTCAAGGAAAAATTTCTTCATCCACTTTCTGGTTTTTAGCAAATATTCAATGTGGCATGTCTGAATGGAAATGGAATAATCTGTTATCCCAGCTATCCAGTTTTCAGACGAAAAGATACATGGTAGCAATTCAAAGTTATCCATTTTCATTGAACTTGTGAACTAAGAAAAACTCTATTCTCAGGCATATTTTGCATCCATTTCCATTTGCTCTTATTTTCTTTCATTCACTTGATATTCTGTAAGACCTACTATATTCCAAGGACCATAGGTGTGAAGATAAAAGTCCTGGTATGTCTATCTTTCAGAAACTTGTGGTGTTTCTGGCCCCAGAAATGGCACCAATGCCTCTTTTTTTGTGTTGGCTCATGCAGAATAAATAGATAATGAAGAAATTTTATGCTATCAGAGTATAGAGGGAATATGATTTTATGAAGTGTGATTGCTGGCCCTTGTCTTTGAGATAGACATAATAAAATTTCTAGCACAAGAATTTATTTTCCTTAATATGCTTTCTGATTCTGGCTTTTCTCCTCGCTAATCTATCCTGCACAGTGATACTAGACAAAATGCCTGAAACCCAATTCTGCTACCATCTGCCCAGAAGCTTCCCAGCTCCTCTTTCCTGCTGCATCAGCTGAAACCTCTCTGCCCAGCTGCCAAGCCCCAACATAAACTCACCCTCAGCCCTCCACCCTACTTTCCTATCCTCCCCAGCAGACACCTTTAGTCCTAATCATTCTGATCTCTCCCCTACCCAATAAACAGCATCATTTAGCATAAGAAATATGGACTTGTTTGAAGTGTAAAGATGACTACAGCAAGTTATACCTAATATGAACTTCCTAAATTTCAATAAGAATAGAAAGGATTAAAACTTACATTAGAAAGATTGATAGACATGATAATCAACTATACACACCAACCTACACTGGAAGTCAGGTAAGAGAGTTTTTACCCATTTTCTTTCTTTGGGTTCTAATTGAGAAATAGACACAGGACCCAATTTAGCATCAAAGTATGGTAGCATTTCTCAGTGGTACAGATACAAGCACAACTTGCAAGTTTTTATCTTTTTAAAGTTAGGGAGATAAGTATCAAGGAAAAGGAAATCTTTGGGTGGGAATTTCAATATATTTAATTCAAAGTCAACAGCCAGTAACCACATCCCATAAAGCTATGTCCCTTCTTTATTTTCATAGTATATGATCTCCTAATTGTCACCTCATTTGCATGAGCCAAGACACCAAAAAAAAAAGAAAATTTGTGTCATAAACTCATCCAGCAAGAGTACCATTCCCTTCAAAGCAGTTTTTTAAGATTTTTGTAACATATGTAGAACATTCCTTATATACTTATCTCAAATAACAAACCATTTCATATAACTATCTTCATCAGCAATATGAAAACATAACTTAAATATTATTAGAAAGACATTTTAATATAAAGTCAGCTGTTTATAATATGTAAACATTGGTATAATTGAGTGAAAGCATATTAAACTCCAAATACTAGTATTTCATAAAAAACAAGTGACTTGTTTTTCAAAATAGCTAGAAGTTGAACATTTTAGAAAAATGACAAGATAAAAATATTCTTGTGCATACTTGAGAAAATTCTGGTCCTTGATATACCTGTTGGAATAGCAATGTTCCCGTGTTTTCAAAAAATAGATAATAGTGAAATGGAAAGGGCAGATATTTACATTTTACAAATATACCAGATGAATGATCACTATATTAAGAATGTGTTATTCTATACTAATGTAATATAATTTGTCACAAAGTAAACATATATCAAAGCAAAGCCTAATTTATTTTGCAAATGATTAGAATATTATCTCAGGGTACACATATAAATTAAATAAATTAAGATGCTATAATAAATATAGCTTTAAGGGTCTGAATGCATTAAAATTGTATATCATATGCCATATATGTTTATATTTTTGTGTGAAATACTTTGCATTCTCAAAACTGTATGATTGTGAAGGTTTCAAATTAACAAGTAAGGAGAGATTAGATGCACAAAACATTCTGATATGGCTATTCTTCAATAATACATCAAAGCATCAAAGATCCTCTTGCTATAGTAAAAATGCAGAATCCAAACCATTATCCAAAAGGTTACAAAAATTTTTATTTTGAACCAAAAATAAGACTCTTTGCGGTCTCCTGGTAGTAACAAACACATTAATCTAATTAGTAAATTATACTCCCTTAAAACTAAAAATAATTTTGCAAACACTAAACATTGGCCAGTTTTAAGTGTTGAAACAACAGAAGGTCATTCTTTCTACTTGGGGATTAAATTAAAATGAAAAAATAAAATGAGGTTTTCATTTTATTTATTTTTTTTCTCATTAGTTTTTCTCTTTTACTTATTTTATGTGTGTGTGTGAGAGTGGAGATATATTGCAGGTGACCTGTAGATGACCTGGAGTCTATAGTGTTCTAGCAGCACATTCCTTTTGGGGTAGTGATTCAATTTAGAAGTAGGCAATTGCTATTGGTTTATACAATTTTTTAATTATCTGGCTAAATCATATTTTGAAAGTACCACCAAATTAGCAGTATTCTAAACAAATCTTTTCTGCACTTTCCAAGGAGTTACATATTTGATAAAATACTAAAGAAAATAACGCCTGAATCATTTCCTATTCTCTGGCATAACTTTTCTCAAGTAGGCACCTGGCTGTTTGACTGTAGTAATAATGGCTGTAATATGAGAACTGTAAAGATGCACATTCTAACACTGACAAAAGATAAAACTAGTGAAATTTTAACTTGACCCATCCTGATAAGATCTTACAGTGCTGTATTGTTATAGTAACCCAACAACTGTTGTTCTTTAGTATGTGCAGTTGGGTTCAGCAGTCCAATCTCAAACTTTCAGAAATGATTACCATAGACCTTGTTGGTCAGGTACTCCTATCAGAAGTCCTTCAAAGTCAGGGCTTGGGTTGCCCAGAAACACTGAGGTGATCCTGACAAAGAGAGCATCTTTGTCTTGATCTCTGACCCAGATCTGCTTTGTATATCTCTCTGCTCTGTGTCTCAAATGTTAATAGGAAGAACTGAGCAGTGTGCCCAAAGTAACCACTGATTACAGAAAAAAAAAACAAAACAGACCACTCCCAAAGAGGCCTCTTTCATAAGGCACTGCCTTCTCACAACTGTCTAGGTGTAAACAAGAAATCCAGAGTCGCCGGGCTCGGTGGCTCAGCCTGTAATCCCGTGCCTTTGGGAGGCTGAGGTGAGTGGATTGCCTGACCCCGTGGGTTCGAGACCCGCCTGGGCAGCGAGACCTCATCTCTACAATAAATAAAAAAATTAGCCGGGCGTGGTAGCGCACGCCCATAGTTCCAGCTACTTGGAAGGCTGAGGCGGAAGGATCGCCGGAGCCCAGCAGGTCGAGGCTGCGGTGGCCGGGAGCGGCCGCTGCACTCCAGTCTGGGCGACAGAGTGAGACTCCAACTCAAAAAAAAAAAAAAAAGCCGGGCTCGGTGGCTCAACCTGTAATCCCACGCCTTTGGGAGGCCCATCTCTACCCTTGCTTCCTAGTGTGGAAATCTGACCCGGATTCACACTCAGATTGCTACCTGCTCTGATTTCATAATCGTCAGAACATCCCTCAAGCCCCATTCAGCACATTAAATCCTTTTCTGTCATATCATCTGTCTTAATCCATTCAGGCTGCTATAACAAACTACCTTAGACTGGGTAATTTATAAATAAGAGAAATTTGTTTCTCACAGTTCTGGAGACTGGAAAGTTCCAAATCAAGGCACCAACAGGTTTTGTTATCTGATGAGGACTCCCTCTGCTTCAA